TGCCTTTAGATGGAATAATTTTCTGCCACCTACCAGAAGGACCGACGGCCTATTTCAAGATCAACAGCTTGAAGTTTACCAAGGACATTCCGGTAAGTAGTAATAGCAGCTTGTGCCTCTTCTGAGATCAAATTCAATCATTCACCACCCAAATTGATGGTTAGATCAAAAAAGGATGTAGTTTGCAATTATAAGTAGTGCCAGAGAAGTTTATGCTGTTTAGCGTGCTGGTGAGTCGACTTCTCACTATCCTGAAATAATTCTCAACAATTTTAACACTCGATTAGGTCACACGTGAGTTCCAAGCTTCTGATTGCCGTTATTCTGGGTCAGTAACTAATTTTGGCCAAGTTATTCTTGTGTTTTAGCACTGCTAGGATGTTTGCTTGTTTGTTCCCACATGACCCTAAGTTCACTGGGCGTCGTGTTGTTACTTTCCATAATCAAAGGGACTACGTCTTCTTCCGGCATCATAGGTGTGTATCCACTTGTTCAATTTAGAGCGCAGGATTAGGATGAGTTTTAGGTACGAATTCAAAAAGGAAGGTGAAAAAGCAGCTTTGGTTGAACTGGGCCCACGTTTTACTTTGCGACTGAAGTGGCTACAAAAGGGAACCTTTGATACGAAATGGGGAGAGTTTGAGTGGGTTTTGAAGGTAGGCGTTAGTTTGAATTTATGTTTATTAGTTGTGCTCAATGAACGGAAAAAATTCACATTTCAGCGTCACGAAATGGAAACTTCACGGCGAAGATTTTTCTTATAAATGCAAGAATATTATTCACGTCCTTTGTTGTTGTTTTGTTATTTGTTGAGTGTTTGAAATGTGGAAAAATATTGTATGAACCAAAATTAAAAATGCTACGACGTTTTTTTACTTGTGATGCTGTCGCAGTGTATCTTAGACTATATCGCATAGATGGTGCAATCGTCTTTCCTTTTCTTATTCTTCTATAGGGCATTGAAGCAACAGCTAACCTCGAGATGTTGTCTCGAAGCTTGGCGGTATCAGCAGCACGACACCTACGTGCCAAAGGACTAATAGGGGGAAGCTCTAGTCTTGGTCCAGTTAGGTGTGTTAAACTTTTAGCTTCTTCGTGCTTTTCTCTTTTTTTCTTCAAAATTTTTTCTGTGCTTACTACAATATGGTTACATTAACTCATTCATCTAGATACCGCTTTGCCTGGGGCCAGGACGCGTTAGGTCCACATGTTCCCGTTGGAGGTAAGATGGGAGCGCAAGAGAATCCAGAGCTTCACACCTGGGATGGTGAATACAGAGGGACCCCAGAAAAAGGAGACAAATTGATTCCCGAGTATGACGGACATTTTCCATTTTCTT